TACATACATACATACATACATACATACATACATACATACATACATACATACATACGTACGTACATACATATATCCACCCCCACAAAAGCATACACACAAACGCACACACACACACACACACACACACACACACACACACACACAAGACCCCACAAACACACACACAACATATTATTTTTATAGCCTACTTAAATCCATTCTCATACACGCAACACACACACAGACACGCATTGTTCTGTGAATAACCTTTCGGAGGTTTTATGTCGTTTTACAGATTATAAACGATGCTTTTTTATCCTTAGCCGCAAAAGAAAACATGTTTTTGTAAAATATAATACGGAAACTCTCCTACGAAAGTTGTGCTTTCATCTGACTGTGGGTTTCATTTTATGAACTTTTTTGTGGGAGATGTGTTTCACGAAATGCCTTGATACTCTACTGTTTTAAAATGATGATTGTTGTTTCATTCATAGTTTTGTCTGTCTGGCATAAAACAACATTGATGTTTTTTCTCTCTGTGTTACAATGTTTCCGTGGCTACGAGACCTAAAGCTTAGGCTACACTACTACACTGCCGAAAGGTTTATAACCGCAGTAAAACTTTTAAGGTTACGTTGTGAGTTACTTCCCTTTTGGAAATCTCCACGGCTGAAAAACCGGTTCAGTCTAAACGCGTGTGGAAGTAAACACGAAAGTTGCATGTCTGTACCCATCCCTCGGAATACAATTGATTTTTCAACCTCTTCTACCTTTGGTGACTCATAGAAGTCTTAGAAGTAGGTTTAGATATACAAAGCGATTGTTTTATTGGTTCGAACAGTTTCTTGTAGACTTTGTATCGGAAAATCGCAGTTACTGGTAAAAATGGCTGGTGTGTTGTTCGAAGATATTTTCGACGTAAAAGACATCGATCAGGATGGGAAAAAATTCGACAGAGGTAAGTAGGCTCATATTTTTAGAATCTAGATTATTTTCGTTGTCTCGTAGAGTATGTCTTATTTCATTCGTCACCTATTGTTGTTTACTGTAAGTTAACAAGGACAACAAGCATGATTTAATCTGTTCAAATAATATGTCGATTCACTTTCACGATCCTCAACGCACAAGAACCCACGCTCAGCCCTCTTTGACTTTGACCTGTTTGCTGGCTCGTTTGGACTCTTTCCAACGACTCGAAGCGCTTAGTGTGCAGACTAGGAACTATTGTCTTGGAATCCATCCCCGGGATTAGCACCAGACCCAATTCATTGCACCATGGAGCGGGAGAAGTAGGGAGAAGAAAAAGAACTCTTGCGGAAACGCTGAGTAGGTCGTTCCAGTGTGAAGGTGGCGTTGGCTAATGCAGTGAATGCAGCGCGGTAGTCTAGCAACAACACACACAGACACACACACACACACGGCGTACACGTACGCGGATCGAACGAGGCTCTACCCGGCAAACTTCAACGTGCTATAACATGTCCGCCACTTGTGCTAGGGCTATTGGCCATTGCAATCAAAAATCATTTGTGGGGCAGAAGTGCTGGTGGTAAGGAGGCTTGCTTGTCAAAGAAAGTTGGAGCTGAAGACAAGCAGAAAAATGCTGCAACTTACTGAAAGAGGTTTTTTGCAGGTGTGTATATGAGTATATGTGTGCACAGTTCCTTTTATTTTTATGATAGCAATAGAAGTTTTCATTCTTTCTTATTTGTGCAGGACTGTTAGAGACTTTCATTTTCAGTCAGTGCTTTTATCGCATTATAATAGAAGGCCAGAAGGACTAGGTTTTAGACATTTAAGAATGTAACAAAAAAAGGAAAAAGGGTAAATTGTATCATTTCTGTAATTTATAGTTGAAACAGCTGAGAAATTGACTACAATTTTGGCCTTTTTCGTTGTTCAAGCTCTTCTGTCGGTTGACAGTTAAATTACAAGGTGTTCTTTTGAT